CTCCCGCAGGGAGCTGGGGGTGTGGGGCTCGCTCCCGCAGGGAGCTGGGGGTGTGGGGCTCGCTCCCGCAGGGAGCTGGGGGTGTGGGGCTCGCTCCCGCAGGGAGCTGGGGTAGGGGGGAATGGTGTGGGACTGAACATGCTGAGAATGGAGTATAATTCTGCTGTCGTTGCCTGTGCTTTCAGACTGTGCACCTGGCCATACTGTGACTGGGTTGGTTGGAGGTCAGGCAATATTACCCTGTATTTACGAGGTGACGGGGCCGGTCTCTCTCACATCAGCCCGACTGTATTGGCAGTTTCCTCCCAAAAAGGTTGCCTACGCCTTTCTCGAAGGAAAGCCTGAAGAACAATATGTGGAAAGTCATTACAGAGGAAGAACCACCGTTCCCAAGACTGAGTTGATCAGAGGAAACTTCTCCCTGCAACTGAACAACCTCACTGTGAAGGATGATGTGGAATATCACTGCTATTTCTTCTTAAACAACAGGAAGGCTTATGAATGTCAGCTCCAACTGCACATAGCTGGTAAGCTCTGGCTTCAGAACGGGCCATACGATGTGGGCGGAGAGGGGTTACTGAGTGACAGTGTGAGGGAGAGGGATTAACATCTGTACAGATACAGTCAGTAACACAGGGCGCTGCGCGGGGAGAGGGGTTACTGAGTGACAGTGTGAGGGAGAGGGATTAACATCTGTACAGATACAGTCAGTAACACAGGGCGCTGCGGGGGGAGAGGGGTTACTGAGTGACAGTGTGAGGGAGAGGGATTAACATCAGTGGGGATACAGTCAGTAACAGAGGGTGCTGCGGGGAGAGAGGGGTTACTGAGTGACAGTGTGAGGGAGAGGGATTAACATCAGTACAGATACAGTCAGTAACACAGGGCGCTGCGGGGGGAGAGGGGTTACTGAGTGACAGTGTGAGGGAGAGGGATTAACATCAGTGGGGATACAGTCAGTAACACAGGGCGCTGCGCGGGGAGAGGGGTTACTGAGCGACAGTGTGAGGGAGAGGGATTAACATCTGTACAGATACAGTCAGTAACACAGGGCGCTGCGGGGGGAGAGGGGTTACTGAGTGACAGTGTGAGGGAGAGGGATTA